CACACGAGCGTTCCCGACCGAGACGCGGCCCCCGGCCCGGGAGAGGGGCACGGACAAGGCAGGCAGCGCTGCTGCAAATCCTGCTCCTCCGGCGAGCGATCCGCACCCGTTTCCACCCCCCGCACCCCAGCAGCTTCTCCTGGGCACGGGGCAGCAGCAACCGTGCTTACGTAGCCGGCTGCACCATTTAATGTGAGAATTAAGAGCAGGTAAGAGCAGGTGAGCCGGCACCCAGGAGGGAGCTGAGGAGAGGCTGCGGACACGGCAGCAGCCAGGCCCCACCAACCCTGCAGGAAAGCGTTTCCAGCCACGCGCCCGGAGCGCTCTGCAAACACTCCAGCTAGCAGCACCTCCCGCCCACACCCTGGGGACACCTCGGCTACTAAAGCTCTAGCTGAGCAAGCAGTAAGTGGCACCTTTTATAGATTTTTATATTTAATCCGTGGTCAGATCTCATAAGGCACCTGAAGCCATTAAGAGCTGCTTTAAGTGTTTTTTTATTTTTATTTTATTCTAATCCAGCACCTCTTTCCAGCTGTGTTTGGTTCTTACATTCCCAATCGAATTCCAGGAAACGTCTCACAGAGGTGCTGACCACCAGCGAGCAGCAGCTCTCTGCTGTACTTGACGCAGACCAAACACCTCACCTAAGCACGGCTCTTCCTTCGCGCTCCGCGTGCCCGTCACACTGGAAGCCGCCTTGCAGCCCGCTCCACAAACAGTGCGGACACGCACGGACCCAGACACCCCCTCCCACCCCGCAACGAGGGCAGCAAAGCAGCTAACCCCAAAGAAAGTTCCCTTTCCGACCCCAGAACCAGCTCCAGGGAAATGAGCTTTCAGCACAGAGAACTCGCCCTCATGACAGAGGAATGGGCGCTAAGAACTCAAGAAGAACTTGCATGGGGAAACAGTGCTGAATTCTCACAAGGAATGACTTAATTTGACCACAACTCTATAAAGCAACTGGAACATTCCCATCTCCTAGGCACCAACATCAAGTCTAGAAGTTGTAGGGGTCTTTCCTCTTCTCACAGATTCCTCAAAGCTCCCTCTCATTTGATTATCTTTAAATCTATTAACATTTACTTCATGCAGCAAAGAAAAAAGTCAGAAAAAAGAATGGGTTAAGAACGGCTTTCGCACTGCCGAGCAGTACGAGACATCCTCCCTCCTCCTCGCTCCTGTTCTTCCAGATGACCTCCTGCACCTGACGGTTCCTTTCACATCTCTGCTGCACTTTGCTGCAACCTCTCCCCCTCACTCAACGCAACAGGAACAGCCTTACTACTAAATTAATCTTTTTACCCCGCAGTGCACAAATGTCCCTGGGAAAGATAAAAGACTAACCCAGAACTGTACATAGAGCAAAAGAAAAGGGCTGAGTCTTTGTGGTGCTTCTGCAGCAAGAGAAGAGGCAGCAGGAAGCACCGGACAGAGGCTGCCCCGTGTGAGCAGCCCGCGGCGGCGCAGTGAGCAGGGACGCTGCGCGGGGACGGCTCCTCCGCGGCCCCCTCGCCTCGCGGGAGGCGCTGGGGCTTCCCTTCCCCAGGGTCCTGCCTCTCGTACCCTGCATGTTCCACCTCGCTTCAACCAGAGGGGAGAGCAGCCTTCAGGAGCGGGATCCAGAACGGTGCTGGGAACAGCAGCACACCGCGCTCAGCCAACGTCCACTTAAACCCATCGGAATTACTGCCCCTCTCCTTTCAAATACATGGGGAAGAATTCTCAGATGCCTGCCACCTCTGAAAACCAGCTACACAGAGCAATAAACCCGAATCCAACATTTCCAGTGACCTGAGTGTAACCCTGTAGGACCCAGACAGGAAAATAACCTGCCTCTTGCACAGTCAGCAGTACCCGAGAATCTCAAGCTAGGGCACAGCCAGCAATTCTGGTGACAACGCTTTGTCTGTCCGGCTGGGTCGGCGCTGCAGGAACAAGAACAGTCTGCGGTGCTGGCACAGCGCCGACCCGGCCGGGCCGTGGCCGTTCAGCTTGGAGAGCTCCTGACGACAGATGTTGCAGAGTCCCCCACGGCTTCATTTCTGAATACAGGTGAGCAAGGCAAGCTCAAGCGAAGCAGGAGAGTTTCTGCCCGGGCCAACCAGGATGGAGTCCTGCTCCTGCACACTGCAGCTGCCGGAGCCGAGGATCCAGCTGTGGCAGGGCACGGACACTCCGGACCCCCCGCGAGAGACGCCAGTCTGGGCACCTCCGCTGGCACCTCCGCTCCTTGCGGCACGGCGCAAGGCTCGAACGAAGTCGGGCGCAGGCAAACGCACAGCTACGATGAGGCTGACGAACCACGGCCAGCGAGGAGCTGCCTTCCCTCCACACAGACCCTGCATGACACCCCTCGGCCTGAGCGCTCCCGCCAATGGCCTCCTCTTTGCTAACACGCAGACCTGCCCTCTCCTGCCAAGCCTCAACCCGAGCTACAAGGCTGGGAATGGTTTATTTTTTGCAAACAGTGTCGGCTTCCAGTACAGAAGACTGCAGCAGTACAACACGTTTAAACTGGACTGGAAAGGGAAGGTCCCGCGCGCTTCTCCAGCGGAACGTGCAGCGTCCACAAGCGGCCCGAGCTAAAGGCCCTGGAGGTGGCTGTGCTGGCCGGCAGGCAGGGACCGGGATGCAGCTCTCGGAAGTCCTCCCAGCAGGACAAGCTCAGGGCAAGCTGATAAGACGAACCCTGCGATGTCCACCCGTGCAAAGGGCAGTAAGTGCAGACACCCGCAGAGCCCCGCACTCCTCCTGCCCTCTTCCAGCCTGCCTGCACACGGGCAGAAACGAGCATCTTCTGTACATAACAGACCCCTACTCCAGGATGAAGAGACAGTACAAGAGCTCTCTGGTGGCAAGAGAGCCAGAGGTCTATGGTTTATGAAGAGAAATTATTTTTAGATGATAGATAAAGCTTAGCATTCCTTCCCATAAACTGTCAGCATCAAACCAAGAACTCACGTAGAGAAAAGTCTACAGGTTGGCACGGACACACTCCTCTTGTCTGAGGATCCCTGCACGGGCAGAGAGCAGGCAGCAGGGCTGTCAGTGGAAGGCGAAGCCAAGTGCCAGAGAATAAACACATCCTGGCCACAGATGGATTTATAGAGGCACAAGGATGGAAGCAGAGGAAACAGCACAGAGCATCCAAGGATGCACCACTAGAAAAATCCTCTCCTGTTTGTGTTTCAGCACAGGTGACTGCCTGCGCAGGGTACCAGGCTGCAGCCCAAGTCAAGGTGGGTGACACTGGCGGGTGACAGCCACAGCGGCAGCTGACACCCGATTCCATTACCAGCAGCCTGCAGGGAGCCTCAGAGGACAGCACCCTCCAGAGCTCCCAAGGCCTCCCAGCGCCTGGGGTAACCCCACGTGTATGGAATTGCAGCGCTGCTTGCGAGGGAAGGGCAGAGCAGACGAATCCAAGCACAATGTGTGTACGAAACTGGAGCGTTTCTGCACCGTTTCTCAGATCAGGCCTTTTAGAACAAAAGCTGAAAAAGGGGCTAAAGGGGATGCAGTGTAGCAGGATCAATCCCTTCCGTGCCTGAAGGCAGCCCAAGCAACAGTGAATTCTTCTGCCAAGCTCTAGTGCAACTGATACGGTGCTGGAGGAATACACGTGCATTCATGCCTACCATGCCAGACAGCCTAGGAAGAAACCAGCAGTTCCATCCTGGTCCAGCTTTCCCCCCCAGGCAAGGGTCGTGTCTAACGAGCCTTACCTGATCCGATTTTGATCAGTCCGTTGTGTTGAATGAAGATGGTGTCACAGGTCAGGTTGCCATGGATGATCGGAGGATCACAGGAGTGGAGGTAGCTGCAGATTCACAACAGACCCTGGTGAGGACAGTGCCCGTGGCGAGGCAGGAAGCCTCCCTGCACCCTCCCCGTCCCCGTAACGTCAGAAGGGAGCACGAGGGCAAAGGCTCCACACCAGGGATTTGCAGCAGTGACCGTGCACGGAGCAGTGCACTGGGACGCACTCAGGACAGCCAAGCAACTGGCCTCCAAAACCGGGGAGAAAAGGAGCCTTCTCTACCCAGAGTACCAAGAGGAAAAGGAGGGACTCATCTGCCCCAGTACTGGAGAAACACAGCCGGGAGGATGCTGAAAGTCTTCAAACGTTATACCAAAGAACTCGGAGCCTTATTCTGCCCCCACCATACAGCATCAAAAGACGTTCCCGTCTTGCCATGCTTTCCAATACGCATGAGTACAGCTTTCCAGGGCTGGGGTCCCGGGTACATCTGAGACAGCTGTTTTTACATCCCCCTCTGCTTGCTTTTATATTAGCAGCCAGCACAAATACAGACTGTCAACTCCAACAAGCTTGCTGGAACCCTAACTACGCCTGGACAGCTCTATTTAGCCACATGGGAACATTTTTCTCTACAGAGTGGGAATCTTGCTCTGATGTCTGGGTTGTTGTTCCAAGACTGATATCAACTACACACTAACTCTGGCTCAGGTTGAGAACAGCCTTAAATAAATAAAAATAAACAGTCAACACTGCTTTGCTGGGTGCACTAAGACACCTGCAGATGATCTACATCAAGAAATACACCACCCCACGGCTTCTGCATGCATTTGTATTTTTCCAGCTCTGTGTGTACTCCTAACACCACCACACCACAATTATGAGCAGAACACACACTGCAAGGCTGCAGCTCGTAAAAGTCAAGAAACCTTCCCTCGCTCCACTCACACAGAATTTGGTTTGAAACTTCTTTGCTCAAGTCTTCTCAGCCCTGGTTAGAGTCCAGTTGTAATGCTAGATACTCTGTCACGCTAGAGAATGCTCCCTAATACCCAACTCACATACTCGTTATGGTGTAAGTTACCACTGGGGCCATCTTGGAGACTTTCAGTGTTGTTTAACTGGAGAGCCTGTGGTTGGTAGGGGAAGTACAGGCGATATCCTGCAGAATGTATCCCTGGGGCAGGGAATGGGCCGTGCGACTGACGTTCCCGTGAGGTTCCACCACATGAGGCTTGCTCACAAGCAGCAGCACGCGCCTGTAGCTGTGAACACCCCACACAGGTGTAGGGAGGCTGTACGAGTAGCCCCAACGCCTGTAGCTCACGTACCTGAGAGCAGAGAGGATCTGGGTACACCAGCGCTTCCAGGCCTACAGACAGGAGCAAAGGTCAGAAAAAGGGGCCATGGAAGAAGAACTAAACCATAGCCCATCCACGGGAAGGAACATACCCTCCCTCAGGCGTTGCCTGGCCGCCTTCACCTCCGGCACCCGAGCGTGGGAAGCTAAGGACTGATGGGATCAGCACTGCCACGCTCAAGTCAGTGTGCACACACTTGCATGGATCAAGGAACAGGCCTCCCCTCCATGCTCCTGTTGTGCACAGACCCCTTCCATCCTTCCCTCGTGCACACATGGAATGGAACATGCCTATCACATCACACACCAGAAGCTGCGCAACAGCAGGAAACCAGGCAAACAGGTGGAATAGCTGTCCCAGACAGTCTGCAACTCTCTGAACGCTCATGAACAGTGTTCCAGAGGCTGATGGGCCTCAACAAGGTGTATAAGAAATAAAGAAAAAAGCGCTACCTTTTCATTCATAGTCTTGTGGTTTTTCTTTGTCTTCTTCAGGAACTGTTTCAAGCTTCCTGAGGACATATATTCAGTGATGAAGATCACCTGTGGCGGTAGGGTGAGACATTACCCTCAGCTTCACTAGTTACACACAGGATACAAAGAGCAAGAAAGGCCAATGCACCCTTCACTTCACTTACCCTGGCCTTATTCTCCTTTACATCCGCCCAGTATTTGTGAAATTTCACAATGTTCAGATGTTCCAGCTGAATTAAGTTGTCAAACACTGCTTTAACTTTCTCCTGTAACATCAGAAAAACAGAGACAAAGCTACATCAACCTCCCCCAGACCACATCTTCCTTTCTCATGGGTTTGGGCACCCATGTACAACCCGATACAGCCAAGCCACTGCGTCAAGAACAAACAGCACGAGACTCCATCACATCCTGCCCTCAGCTCAGCGCTGCTCAGTCACAAAGGGAAAGCGACACAAGAGTGCACAGAAATAGCCCAGCAAGGGCTTTTTGCACCTTTTCTGCAGAGATTGGGCTTAAGCTGCTTTTCCTACATCTCGGCAGCACAGCATTCCTGTTGCAGAGGAGCTGCAAGTCTGGGCAATAACCCACGAGAGGCCCCTGACACCTATAAATCCTGCCCTGGCCCCAGACCCTCCGCTTACCTCTTGAAGCTTGAAATTCTTCCGTTCCGAGAACTGAACCTCATTCCAAACAACCTCGACGCCTTCCTCCGTATCCATGGCCAGGTAGGCATTATCGATCCCTGGGACATTGCGCTGATTCACCTGGGCAGGAAGGATGGAAGCAGATGCAAGATCCAATCAGTAAGAGACCACCTGTTTTACGCCGTTCCCGTTTTAGACGCCGTTCCCTTGACTCTTATGAACTTTTAGAGAGATGCACATCCCCAGAGCAGGTCGTCCGCACGTCCCAGTCTGCACTGTCCACATCTATCTCAAGAATGGGCACAATCGAAGGGGAGTCACTACAGGTCACATAGTAAGAAACCAGAGCTGAAGCAAAACTTACCACCACTTTGGGGTAAAAGCTGCCTTTTGGTATTGATCTGCTTTGCAGATCTGCTCTTTTGTTTTATGATAATTACAGTTCATTTTACCACAGGAACTCTGAACCAAACGAAAGGGATGCAAAAAAAAGGCTCCGAAACTCAGCCATGACTTTCTGGGGGAATCCACAGAAGCGTGCTGATAAATGAAACAGGGGAGAAAGGAAATTAAACCAAGCACAGAGGAACAAAGGCAAAACAGCAAATTAGGAAGAGACTTGGGAAGGGATTGCACAATTCAAACTGCTAACAACTTCAAGACAATAAATTCAAGAGTTAATGTGGCACAAGTGCAGCCACACCTGGAACAACAACAAAAACACAGGCGCACACGTGCGCGCACGAACACACACTGCTAAAACACGCGTTCCCGGAGGAAGCGCGGAGTGGAGATGCCCGGGGCAGCGCAGGGACTTGGACGCCGGGAGGGACCCACTGCCAATGGCATCGGGGACACGCAGTGTCCCTGCATCCAGGGCACCCCGTTGTGACGCCCTGCCCGTGCTATTCCAGAGGCTGAAGTTAGGCTCACGGTTGAAGCCCCCTTGTACTGGGCAACATGGTGTGATCTGAGGTGATTTCTGCCTCAGTACGCACTGAGAGCAGGGAAGACTGGGTGGGATTTACCTGCTTCATTGCGAACCATCAGTCATGACAACGCCACGTTCCCTGGCCACGCACCCAGGGCCCCTTCGCCCCCACGAGAGCCCCCGCGCACCCGACACGGCGCAGGCTCAGCCAGCGCTCCGCGCTCCCAGCAGCTCCGCGACGTCCTGGCGCTCCGCTCCTCTTCGCTCCCAAGGGAGCGTCTCGCATTCGCTCCCCTCACAACGGAGCTTCTCACCCAGCACAAAGACTTCTCAAAACTTACTCCATTCCCGCTGCTGCGTGTACAGGCCAACGGGGAACGGACAGAAACATCCATCCACAGGTATCACTGGGCTAGACACGGGAATATCCCTTCACTGGTTATTTCATCAGTACATTAACAACTTGAACCGACTGCCCACCACCATGGGCGGGATTTGTTTGTGTCCAGGAGCCGGGGCCTGTTCCTGGGACAGGGGAAGGCTGGGGGGCTCGTCAGCGCGTCCAGATCCCCAGGGGAGGGAGTCACGAGCACGGGGCTCCTGCCAGCGCAGCCCGGCGGCAGGACAAGAGGCAACGGGCACAAGCTGCAGCCCGGGAGGCTGCCCCGAGCACGAGGGGGCCGCAGGACGGAGCGGGTCGTCCGCGGAGCCGCTGGCTCTGGAGCCGCCGCAGCCGCCCGGACCGACCCGTGCCCCGTGCTCGAGGGGACGCTGCTCGTGCGGGGGCTGCACAGGCTCTCCAGAGCTCTCCTCTGACCTTGATCATCCTGTGACTCGTATTTTAATAAGAAAACCAGCTGGCGAATGACAGCAGCACCAGATCCCTCTGTGCAACCAGTCAGTGAAGGGGGATGCCCGGAGGCAGGCGAGGGCAGCACCGTGCCCAGCC